TGGACGAGGATCTCGGGACCGCCCGTAATTGCCATGGCCAATTGATGAGGAAGTAAACGTATTTTAATGCCCTCAACATCGAGGCGAAAAATACACTTAAACGCCAATTTATGAAAGACTTGTCCCATGACTATGGGACGAGCATCACAATTCAAAGCGATCGGGCGTCCTGACTTATCAATCTTTCCTACTCCAACAAGGCTCCCTCCTGCTAACCATGGCTTCAACATATCAGGAACTTCCGCGTCCCCCAAAATCTGGAGGAATTCGCGCAAGACATGCAAAAGTCCAGAATCCAAAGATTGTCCAACTACTCCTTTTAAGAAGTCAGCTCGTAGGCCATCGGGCCCCGGGCCAGATCCTATTGGGAAGGATTGCAGGGATTTGAATACCAATTCCAGGGGAAGTTCAGGAGCGCGGGGTTGTGCCTGCATGGGGCGAGGCGCAATATCATCATGATTAGGGGGGAATTTAGCCAGAAGTTTTTGATTAACAATATCATTAGCTTCCGCCAATCCCGGAGATACCAGGCGCTTAGCAGCTTGCCCGGGGCGGCCCAAAGACACCAACCGACAAATATCCGCTTCACGTTATTCAGCATTATTATCCTTCGGTCCTTTTCGTCCGCGCATACGTATCGCCATGACAGCTTCATCCCACAGACCCTGCCGTTCCCCCATCTTCCAGCGAGTAAGTATGCTTCTAGTGAAGGCGACGGCTTGGCCTCGACGTTGCCCCCGTTTATTCTGCCTGCAGACCGATTTAGAGAACATGAGCAGCTCAGTTCGTAAATTAGCGTTAAAGTATACTTTTCGCCTCGACGCTAAGGGCATTAAGACACGTTTACTTCCTCATCAATTGGCCGTGGCAATTGCGGGCGGTCCCGAGATCCTCGTCCATTCCGCTAGAGATTGGATTGCCCAAAATAAAGGAAGGGAAGACATGATCCTTTTGCAAAAGGATATCAGTAATGCCTACAACACGGTTCTTCCGTCGGTCTTTTTAGAGGAATATCGACAATATGCCCCTGCCTCTTCTCGCTTTGCTGCGTAATATTATGGGTCGACTTCCTATTTGGTTTACGTGGGGTCTACATATAATTCCCGTAGCCATATACGAGGGCTATCTTCCTCTCTAATGGTCGAGAGAAAATTAAATAGAATATCATTAAATCCGATGCCCATTTTCGATAAAAAAATAAGATAGCTCATAATATATTTATATTTAAAAATGAATATCAAAGAGATTTAGCTATTAATCTAGAATTTCGTCTAATCCTATATCTATTTAATTATAAGAAGCTAAAATTCTGAAAAAAATAATGAATATTATATATATTCAATTTTTTCAATAATTTGAAAATATTTTGAAAATTCTTAAAAATATATTCTTAAATTTAATTCTTTTTATAATTGAAGAAAAAAATGATTAGTATTTACAAAATATTAAATATATATTTATATAAAAAGACACTAAAAAATTCATGACAGAAATACTAATAAATATTTTGAAGTACGACGATTTTAGTTTTCGTTATGAAGCGAATCTCTATAAAGATTTCCTAAATCTCCAAAGCAACCTTGTATTAGCGATAGAGAAATACTAACCATTTCGCAAAGAACAATCTCCAAAATAACGAGATTTAGACTGCAAAATGAAATAATGCCTACGCATTTACTTGACAATCCTATATATAAATATATAGGGTTTAAATATTTCGGTATAACTTGAAATATCAGATTTTCTAATGCCATTCCATTTATAAATGATATAATCGAGAAAATAGAAATATATAAGAAATTGAAATCGTAAACAAACTCTAAATCTTGTCTATAGCTTTTTCTATATATTACTGGTTTTGAAGAATTATATATAATATTATTATTGAATATTATTGATAAATCTAATATTTCATTATTTATTCATCCATTATACTTAATAAGAATTCGATCTAGAAAAAATCTGATAGAAAGTATATCAAAAATCTTTCGACGAAATCTCGTGAAAATTGATTCTCAAGAATATCTTGTATCTAGCGATTTACGTCTCGTCAACGTTTGCAATGCGTAATATCAGGATATTCAAGATTCGAGGAAAATGCGGATCTAATTGGTCCTTTCAATTCGTTCATGAAATTGCAGGAGAGTCCTGGAGTGCGGGCAAATCGGCACTGAGGCCGGACGCAATTATTTGAACCAATTTTCTACCATTAGTTGGGCACAATTCCCTCCCATCTGCTCGAAGCACTGTTTGGGCTGACCCACCTCAAAGATTGGATCTCGCAGGCGTTTATTGCTTACTTTCCGGATAATACGCGCTACGAAAAGAAACCTGTCCCGTTTACTTCACAAAACATGCAGGATTTAATGCATAAATCCTTCCAGCCTTGATTAATTGTGGCATGGAGGCGGTCCATGCAATAATCAGCCCATCTTCGCAGTACCAGGAGTTGGGAACCACAACCACCCTGCACCCAAAGCTCATTCGCATGCCACCCTTGCGTGCCAGGACCGCACTGTGCAACCAAACAGGGGAAGTGCATTCGGTGCACTTGCGGGCAAGAGTGTTGCTGCGGGAGGACGCCCGGAAAATCATTCAACCTGACATGCCCAAATGCTCGCCTCAACATTGCATAGCAGAAGCTTGATCAATTGTTGAAGGGATGGCCGCAGTAAGTTTATCAGGTGCGACATGGCGTGCATCGCGTGACTCTAGGGCGGGCTGCTAATCCAAATGCTGCAGAGAAGAAGGATCTGCAGCAACTGATATAGCCCATTGTGATGTATGTACTGCAAGCACACCAGCATGCTAAGCGCACTGGCACACGAAACTAGCTGCTGGGAGGATTTAAACGTGGACAACCCTCGAGCCAAGTGCACGCAACGAGAAAAAGAGCCAACCTTGAGAACCTTCAGCATCGCAAAAGGCCTGCCGTTGATAGAATCAAAAACGCCTGCGGGTGGATGGCTGGGAAAATGCCAGCCAGCTTCTCCAGCCCATAACCCAGCTGCAAAGAGCAACAAAAAGCTTCCGGAAGGCCTTGAAGGCAACCACAAAAGGTATGCACTTGAGCCCACAGCAGGCGGTGCGCTTTTATCGCTTCGATCTCGCTGGCGAACTGCTCACATGTTCTGATGAGCATGCCCAGAACTTTTTGCGGAGGCCCTGGCCAAGTTTGACTCTTGAGGGCTGTCCCTTCAAGCTTGTCCCCTTGAATGCTGCAGCCAAGGTATAACATGTGTGTGCCCTGAGGATGAGATCGGCCTGCAGCGCTTCGAGGACAATGCCCTGCTTTGGGTCATGGACCGGCTGGCACTCCTCGCAGTGCTATGAAGTGTAGCACATGGGAACTAGACATACCTTGCATGAAGCTCAAGCAAAGCAATAAACCTGGCTCGGTACAGCTTCTTAGAACTGCCCAGGCTCCCCTTCACATTGGCAGAAGTCTTGGTGGGCATACGGGATGTCCATCCTTAGTGTGTCCCTCCTTCCGTGCAAGTCAAAGCGCTTTCGTAGCGGCCCTCTTTTACAGCCGCTCGAGTTTGCAACATAAACCTGATGTGCCTGACCTTGCGAAATGAGGTGCCCAGGTGTGCTAATATTCCGTTGGAATCATTTGCATTCAAATGACCTTTCCTGAAGACACAGCCCAACCTCTGTTGAAAGGCGCTGAACTTTGCTTTGGCCATTGTATGGCTTCTTCTGCTTTCTGGCAATTGCGTTAGTTGGCTCTCAGCCTGCAACCCCTCGCTTCCCATCGACAAAGATGCTGGAAAGCACGCGGCCAGCCGTCGCTGCCGCGGCCCACAGCCTGCTGCCACGTTGGGCGATCCTGCACTGGCTAGAAAACTGCGCACTCGAAAGAGTTGCAAGCCGTCAAGGTTCAGAAAACACTGTGCAAAACAGGTCAGACTGTACTTCAGATCCCTTTCTGCAAGTCAGGAGGACACCTTGCAGCGGATGTGTATCTGCAAGTGATAGAGTGAGCTTGATCAGAGACTCAATCGGGGAAGGGCTAGCTCTCTAGTCTAGTCTAGCTATGAGGCCTGGAGTGATCGTTGCGACGGCCATGAAAGGCAAAATGTACCATGGCAATGGTTCTGGCATTTAAACGCCATTGCGCAACAAAAGACGCAACATAGCGCGCGAACACAACCAACAATGCCAGAAAAGGGTAACAAGCTACACGCAATAAAGAAATTGCGCACGGAACATGCAGAAAGGTGTCCTCCTCCCACAGCGCCAATCCCACCCCCAACGTGCGCACAGCCTGAGCACTTGAAAATCTCAAAGCTCTGCGCATCTTGCGGGATCTTGCCATAGAAGGCTGCCACATGCAATCTTCCAAAGGATACTGCCATTTTAACAGTGGGTTCAACTCAGACTTAGCTACGTAGTTGATCGACATTTCCCACGAGGCTTCTGCCCCTAAATCACCGCTTTGCAGCTCCAAGTCCTCAGTCTCCTCAGTCTCAGTTCTTATCTGCATGACAGCTTGCATGGTCTCCCCATCGGTGGCTCCAGAAGCCCTCGAGCGAGTCCAAGTACCGGAAATAGTCCTGCGAAATAGCTTCTCCCTGTACGTGAATTCTTCATACAAGCATCCTCTCAGGAACTCCCTAAACTATCACCTTAGACCCACGATTGATGGATGGTGGGGTTGATAATGTTGCGCCAGTCCGGGTACATCCTGGCAGGAGCTTTTTTCCCCACGCCAAACCGCTAGCTCCAAGCGCATGATTGCTGTGGAAGGCAACCGCATTCTGAAGGAAGGTTCTGTGTCCAAAGAAATCCAAAGTTGCGTGTGCTTTTCAAAGCTCTTGCCACTTTCATTTCTGAAACTTCTAGATCTTTACGAAGCTGGTAGCAAACGTGAAAGAAGGATAAGTGGAGGCGTTCCAAGAGCCACTGCAAGCCTCAAGAACAGGAGACCAAAGATTGGAAAGGCCCGGCATAACTCTTGTTGTGGAACTGTCACCCATCCATTCCTGGGTGTCTTTGCGTCACCAGCAGGTTCAACGCCCCTTCCAAGCACAGTCCGCATTGCAATTGTGGTTGCACTGCCTGCTGGTGATTGCACGCATTTGCAGTCTCGCAGGGATAATTAGCCGCGCCTGACGCATGCTGGCCCCTGATAGCTTTGCGATTCCAATCCCTGGCTACCAGCTTCTGCAATTTCCTTGACATACGGGCCCTACTTTCATGGTTATGCTGATGTATGCTGATGCCCAGCCCCTCGCTCCTGGTATCTCGGTGATCGAAAGAACGAAAGCCGGAGCACCTCACAGTCCTGAAAGAGAAATGCACTCGAGCCCAAGACCTAGGACCTGGTACTTCGTGGCTAGTGCATGTTTGGGAACACCCTTGCCCATCTTCGCATTGGCTACACTGTCGCACATCTGCAGAGAGCGGTCCGTCATGAGTACTCGATTGTTCCACAAAGGCATCCTGAACAGGAAGCTTCCAGTATGGAAGGAAGTTTGAAAAATACGCGGCACAGCAGCAAAATTGGCATCATGTGCCCTTGCGGATGCGCATGGGCTTTGCCGCAGAATTCGGCACATGCTTGTAAGCAAGGTCCAGGTGGGTGGTCGGAGTTTGGTCTCAGACGGAAACCCAAGAATCCCCAAAAAAAAGTTGCAGCATGCATGCCTGTCAAGACCCTCTGCACTGCTGGAAGCCAGAAATGTCGACCTTGGAAGAGTGCTGGCAACATGCACACCTAGCTTCCAACAAAACATGCATGCAAAGCCTCTTAATCACCTTCTTCACATTCCCTGCGCTTGTCTTAGCGACTTGGCACGTTGCGTGATCAGGCATCCGCCTTTTAATCAAACATTGTTGCTGCAAACTCCTACGGCAAAGGTGACGCTACAACGTCGCAACACAACTGGCAGGAGTTTTCCAACACCAGGCTATGCGGTGGAGCTGTGATCCTGGCATGAAATGCGTTCGGCCATTCTTCCAGTTTTTGGAAAGCGTGCTCGACCAAATGTCGACCTGCAGAACGAGGACACTTGCCCGTGAAAAAAGCATGTCACTTTGATGCATCATTACATCTTGTCCTGCACCCTCGGCCCAGCCTTCTCCTTCATGGCGTAAAGCATGGTGTACTCCCACAGTCGACGGACCTTGCAACTCTTTGGGGCAACGAGCCCTCTCGCTGCATAATCACAGCATGGCAGCTTCCAGAAGTGCTCCACAAATCGATGTAAGAAGGTATGCTCTGAGCCAAGAAGGAAGATTGGCCCTTGACACAATACTGGCCCAAGGCATGCATGCGAAAATCATGGTATCTTTCATCACCAACGTCGTCGGTGTGTTGTGCTTGTGCACCCTTAATGATATGGACCCCAGCCCGTGACCTTTGTCAGGAGAACGCATTCGTCCCAGCAATAAGCTGAAGCAACTCGAAGCCTTGAGCAAATAAAGTTAGCCCTGCAGCTGAGGCAGGCGAGGTCACCGTGATGTAGGACCTGTACATGGGACGCTTTACAAGCAATTGGTCTCCTGCTGGTACATGCATTAGACTTTACCTGCGCCAATGAGTGAGTGCACACTGAGATGATGGTTCACATTTCAGCCTGGGTGGGAAACGCAAACACTGGTTACCCGAAAAAACGAATCTAGCCCACCATTGCTGCAGCAGTATGTATTACTTGCTGGACTGGCGAAGACAGGCGCAGTTGGTGCCGTCGCTGTACACTGCTCGCTGTCAAAGAAAACGTAGACCGAAACACATCTTACCCTTGACTCCGGTTGGTCCCCACCATCCCATCACGAGCTCGGAGTTTGCATGGAGCTGCTGGAAGGGATCACGTTCTACGCGTGCCGGGAAGTGACTATCACCTCAGGGCTGCTCCAACTGCTGCTTGACAAGCTGATTCTCGAGCTCATGCTGAAGGCACATGGCGCATGGTCAGGGCTGGATTTTGCAGTGAACTGGGCAGCTGAAAGTCCAGGACCCATACTGTCCAAAGACCAAAGGTAATCAAAGCCGTCCAGGGCCACGTGGTTGAACACAGGGCCTGGCAGTGCAAATTTTTAAACGCTCTAAACTCTACAATCCAAAGCCCGTGCATGCAACTGCAACCTCTGTGTCATTCGTGGTATGAACATTCACATGCGATGTAGCCACATCATAGAGGTCACGAAAAAATCTGAAACCGCTATGCTGCGTCTGCACTCCAGCAATAGCCTACGCTCAGACATGAACGCTCCCTAAGCCCCCCCCCACACACACACACACA